CCATTAGTAATTCTGGACAATTTTAAGTTATTTGCAGTGATGAAATTCTATAAAGAAGTACTATATTCACATAAGCAAGAAAATGTTTTCTACTGTACACAAACCATATCCATTTCAGCCAGCTCAAGTAGATATGGTTTGTATATGGTAGAATGTATTGTCTAGCTCAAGTAGATATGGTTTGTATATGGTAGAATGTATTGTCTAGCTCAAGTAGATATGGTTTGTATATGGTAGAATGTATTGTCTAGCTCAAGTAGATATGGTTTGTATATGGTAGAATGTATTGTCTAGCTCAAGTAGATATGGTTTGTATATGGTAGAATGTATTGTCTAGCTCAAGTAGATATGGTTTGTATATGGTAGAATGTATTGTCTAGACAATAAATTCTACCATAAACATGACATATCCAATATTGATTTGAGAAAATAACTCCAAAATAGTTTTTAGCAAAACCAAAAACCACAAGCTTAATCTATATATCAAAGGCTCCAAGACATTTGAGAGCACCTGGTAGGCTAGAGAAAACACGACAATTTGGAGCTAATTTGCAAAAAAAAGTGGTGGTCTTTTCCGCCAGGTATGTACCACAAGTTACTAGCAAGTACATGAAACAGAGACCAAACTTTAATTAATCTGAAAAATGGGCCTAACCGCTAATAACATTATGCTTCGAGGAGCAGAATATGACACTTCTTCTTCATATGTGCTGTAGCAAAACTTTATATAATAAAATGTATATTTGGTCAGTATAGAAACAACATGGTAATGCCAAGCAGTTTACAAACATATAGGGCTTAATGTTGTATTGCACAGTATAAAAAGGCTTCAGTGACCTACTATGCTTTTAATACTCTGTTCTTTCATTTACAGAAAAAAACACATGATTTTGTGAAGAACATGTGAACATTGTTTTTCAACAATAGGTTAATAAAACAGACAATATGATTTTTTTCAATGTTTATATAATAAATAGAATAACAATCAGTGGAAACTAGGCATCTTGGTAAATCTTGACTAAGTTAATGTATTTTCTAATTCTAATATTAATAACAATATACATAAACCTGCATTAGTACAAAAATCACCCCTGCTGTTGCTAGTGGCAGGGCAATTAGGATTTTAGGTTCTATTTATTTGACTTCAAGTCTAATCAAGTTGTAATTTCATTGTAAAGGTTATTGATTGGACAATTTGAGGAGTATCATGTTTTGTCTTGATACTTTACCTTAGGAGGTTGAATTGTTGGCTGGGATTCAGAGGATGATTACTAGGATAATTCCTGGAATAGAAAGGTTGTCATACAATGACAGGTTAAGATGTCTGAAACTGTTTTCTCTTTGGAAAAAAGAAGAGTTATAACTTATAGGGGATCAGACATTTAAAATTATTAATGGAATTGATAGTGTTGATGCATCATTTTTTTTTTTAACTTGATGGTAAGAATAAAGGGCACAAATTTAATTTTGGCAGGGTAGGAGTCATCTTTAGCTAGGACAGTTTTATTTTTCTAATTGGTGGGTTGGCCTTTGAACTGGGTTGCCTTCAGACGTGGTGGATACAGTTAATTTAAGGGAGTCTAAAGGAAAGTTTTATAAATATTTAAACAAGTGCTGACTTTGGGTGTTTAATTTTTTATGTTAAAATTTAGTTTAGTGGATGGGACAGTGTAGATGAACCAACAATTTGTACACCAGAAATTAAGACCTTTTTTAGTAACCTTGTAGCAGTAAAACTAAAAGAATAAAACATTTATTAAGCTTTCAGTTTCACTTTCAGATTGATAACAACCCTTCTTCGTGGGTATAATAAATAAATAATAATAAAACACTCCTAAGGTTTTAAAATACTTAAATGTCATTTTCATTACACGCTAATTTCTAATGTAATGTTACTATTCTCAGAGTATAGATCCTATCGACCAAGTGGTGTTAATATTTACCTGAAAATTACTTTTGTTTCCATACCTTCTAACGGTGGAAACTGTAATAGATTTTCAACGCAAGATCTCTAATCCTCCCAGTCACCGGAACTTTTTCCAAGGAAGAAAAACATCCAGCCTTTGAACGTACGTGATTGGTTTTTCTGGTGCAGTTCGCCTATCAATGCGAACAGTGTAATTTAAATATGGTTTTACACGTATAAGTGTGTAATATAGCATACGAATAAGGTTTATTGATTCATAATAATAACTTTTAATAATAATTAATTCCATTTATTATGTGTTTACATACACTAAAAGTAAAACTCAATGTTAAAATTATCATATAAAGCTATAATCTAAAGGGCAGAAGCCTGTAATACAAAACAAAAAACAGTAACGTCATTAAGATATTTTGCAAAATATCAATTAATTTGGCTGTAAAAATGCATTTAGAGCGATAGTTCGGGCTAAAAGGTTGGACTCGTGTTGAGATATACAGAAATTTTTCCATTACCATGTATTTATATAAATAGATTTAGTTTCTTTTGCTAAGAAAACTCTTCATAAATTATAAATAACAAACAAAAACTGTGATGTAGATAAGCAATCAAAAATAAATATCGTATTTATAAGTCGAATTACTGACTGTAAGTGGTATTACAATTTAAACGGTTCTTGTGCGGGGAAGCTGTAAGCTTTCGGTCTTACGACACAAGAATACTGGATTTGAGACCCCCACCTTAACAAGAATTCAAATAGTCCATTGTATAGTTGCACGCTAAAAGCGAAACAAGCAGTTTAGCGGCGTGATTCTACTGGATTTGGAATATGTATAATAAGTAGTATTAAAATAAGACCTAAAAACAGTTGTACAAAGTAGTAGTTGAAGGGACGTTCAGTTACTTCCTTGTAGTTTAATCAGGAAACATTGTTTCTAGTACTAACAATCGGTGAGCGGGATGCGGTTTTCGAAATTCTACAGATGCTAATCATCTTTGTTATTGATCCCTAAGACGTACAATAAAGGGTAATGCGAGGCGTGATGGGAAAAATATTTTGCTTGAGCATGGGCACCCGCATGACGGGGCAAGAGGAGGCATTTGCCCTCTTACATTTCCCCCAAAAAAAGTGCACGTATTATGATGTAAACTTAACATCGTAGTTAAACTAAATATTTTTAGTATTTTTTATTAAAACTGTAAATTTGTGTTTGCATTTGAGCACACATAACACATATTCTTTTAGGCTGTTGACTTACACTATAAAAGCCGAAACCCTACATACATGTTTTGACCCCCCCCCCCGAAAATAGTTGTGTGGGCGGTCGGTCAGTAGCACTACAGCATCCAGAATCCGAAGCTCAAAGATTGACTAGCACCAATTTTTAACACACTCACAGTTGAAAGTACGAAGTGCGTTTTTAAAAATCGGTCTCGATTCAACTTGATTAGCCCTGGTATTGGGCGAAAGGACTATTTAAGTACAGCTGTCCCTAATTTTCAACTGAAAGATTAAAAAGGAAAAATGAAGGCAACTATTCAACAGTACTCACTGGCAAGTTTTAGACTACTCTTATTTAACTGAATAATGAGATATGACGTCACTCTTATAGCATATTCATGCCCCAAAGTGCAGAGCGCATTTGTGCAGCATAAGACAACGAACAATTAACCCTGGAATTCAAGTCCAAATACTCTATTAATCTTTTCAAAACGAGGCCCGAAATTCGAGCGCTTTCGAATCCTTCACTATTATTCTTCAGAAGAATAGTCAATTATTCGAAAGCGTTCGAGTTTTGGGTCTCGTTTTGAAAATATTACAACTTTTGTAGGTGATCCTGTGTGCTAACTTCTTAATCTGGATTTACTCCAATAATCGTTAGGCTACATGAATGTCGTTTCAGATTTCTTTAAGGGTAAATTTTATTGTAAGTCCAGAAGAGTTAGGCCCCTGGATGGTCTTGGCAATTTTTATTTTTGTAAAGATTAAAATGTAAAATTCAGTCTATTAAACTTAAATTGCGCCTATACTGGGTGACATTCTAGTCTGATATGAAATGAAAACACTGAACATTAATTTGTTTGTTGTTAAGCACAAAACTACACAATGGTATGTCTGTTCTCTGTCCATCGCAAGTATCTAACCCCGATTTTTAGTTGTATAAGCCATCAGACTTACTTCAGTGGTCTGAATATTTGATTTTGAATATAAATTGTATATATATATAATTCCATAAATACAAAAATTAACAAGACAAATCAATGTAATATGTGTTAAGTAACTGGAACTTGGTTGTAACTAAGTGTTCTAAAGGGAAATAGTTATTAAAGAAAACCAGTTAATATTAAATCTTTTTTTTTACGTTAGTGCAGTAATAACTCAATCAGTTTAATGTTGTAGTGATCAAACTTCTCGAATCCCCTGGGGATTTAAAATTATACCTCTCGTATGCCAATCAAGCGTTCTACTATTTGAAACCAGGAAATTCAGACAGTTACACAATGGGCTATCTGCACTATGTCCACCGTGGGATATCAAACCCCGGATTTTAATGTCAAGTGCAGAGACTTACCGCTGACATACCTGGGAATACTGATATAAGTTTTAGTTTTAAACAATGTTATTTGACATGTAAAAATATCAGTATCTTACAGGCGACTAAAATAAAAGCTTAAATAATATATAACTAACTATGGTTTAAAATATAAGTTCGTAATGGCTGAATTTAAGCAATGTGATACATTTCAATAATAACTTCATCTATAATACAAATTAAAATAACTGGATTTGTTTAGAAATTCAAAAGCATTGTGAATTGTAAAATATAAAATTGAAAACCAAATTTTATTTTAATTTCTAGCCCTTTTGACTTCATATAAGACGGAAACTGATAAATTACCTTATCGTTCATATAATGTCAAAGATTAATGTTTTTATGGTGCAAAACGTAATTATATATTTTTACAGTTTTATGCATATTACGTTGCAATTATAAATTTAACTTTTGATAGCCATCTATCGGTAGGAGAAGAAACAACAACAACAAAAAAATAATAAGAAAACGCGCGTATAGATTCTTGTGGCGCCAAAACTGATTTTGGCGCTAAGTTTTTAGCTCAAGTATCATGCATTTTTCGGTTTTAGCTTAGTGTTCAGTGGGATAACTGCGAAGGAGGCAAGATTCATACAGTGTCTTCAGATTTTATAAAACGTTTCATCAGAAGTATATTATAACTTAGTAAACCAATTTTATCTCATCTTAAATATATATAAAATGTTTGAAGCACGTCTTGTTCAAGGTTCTCTATTGAAGAAAGTTTTAGAAGCTATAAAAGACTTGATCAACGAGGCAACATGGGACTGCTCAGCCACGGGTATCAGCTTGCAAGCGATGGATAATTCTCATGTCAGTCTTGTCTCTGTAAATTTAAGAAGTGATGGTTTCGACAAGTACCGATGTGACAGAAACATTTCTATGGGTATGAATCTTGGAAGGTAAAGTTAAATATTAAAGAAACTTGTTTTTAACTGTTGGAAATGTTTTCTTTTCTATTTTTATAAAGCATTAAATTTAATAGATGATTTTTTTTAGAAATCTCATTAAACTGAGTAATTGAGTATGAAATAAATTAACTAATGCGATGAGCAGCTTAAAATTAAAAACAAAGTGGTAATGGATAAAATACTCAGTAGTTTCATACAGTAATCTCGTAAATGTTGAATATAGGCACCACAAGTTTTTTTTTACTATTTTAAGTTTTATCTTAACCAATCTCAAATAATCAAAGTTTAAACGTTACAGTTATAAAGAAAACGTTGACTTAATTCTCAGTATAATTATATATTTAGATGATTTATAATATTTCTTTGCATGTAGGGAATGAATTTTCGTATTTTGTAATATTTTAACGTACTGTTTTTACAGCGTAAATAAAAATACAAAATGTTGTGTGTACTACAGTGCAGTACAGAATAGCTACACTGCATCAGTACACTAATATTAAAATTTTAAAGACAAATATATATGTTTATATATAAATATAATATATACTTCAGAAGTTCTGTATTAGTATATAGAAAGACAACAGTTATTCACCACCAATGTTTACAGTTGTATTTGAAATAGGCATATTAAAATAAAAAAAAAAGTTGGTTAGTAAAAAGTTGTATATTACTATTAGTGAGAAATTGTAAGCAAACGCCATTTCAGAAAATCCTTTAAGAGCATTGACATAGTCAGAAAATTCATTTCCTTTCTGAAGACTGTCATAGTAAAGGGTTACATTATGCTATGGATAATCAGATTACCCACAGGTTATAATCAGTGATTATGTGAATTTTGCCCAGTCAACAATTGCAAGATAATTCACAAAGTTTTGAATTAATTTTTATCATAATAAGTTTTAATATTTTACTTACACATAAATGTAATTTTATGCAATTTTTTAAAAGTTTTAAAACATATCTTTTTTCTTATGTTCCAAAAAATATTTTTCATTAGCATAGGGATACCATATTGTCAGACGTGCCCTATTTTTGATTGCTATTTGTAATAATTGTTTTTTTGTTTTGTTTTCAGTATGTCTAAAATTCTAAAATGTGCAGCTAATGATGACATTATTACTGTCAAAGCCCAGGATGAAGCAGATTCTGTAACCTTTGTCTTTGAAGCACCTAGTAAGTGTGTAATTTTATAATTATCGATATTGCAAATGAACCTCAGAAATTTCACTTCTTGGAATTCAATTTAAGGAACATTGAAATGAGGTTGATGTGTCCTTGAAAATATAATTTTAATTGAGAAATGTAAAAATACTTCTAGCTGTCACATTCTAATATTTGCTTTTTTTTTACTTGAAGACATAGTGCATATTAGTTTCTAATAGTGATAGAAATATTCCCATTAACTAAGAGTGGTGTATACTATTACCAAAAATACTTTAAAAAAAATGTTCTTGAAATGCTCTAGTGGCTTTTCAGTGCAGTCTTAAGATAAGTATTTGTTAAAACTTAATTTGTAACATTAAAAAAAAGGTAATGTTTTGTAATTTATGATTTGTTTCTTTTAAACTTTTCAGATCAAGAAAAAGTATCTGATTATGAAATGAAGTTAATGAACCTCGATACAGAACACCTTGGAATTCCTGTAAGTAATTATTATTTTTAAGGTGAGGATGAATTAAACATTTTACAGTCATAAATTTCATAAACTGCCATTCCTATTGAAATAAATTGTTTAACCTTCAAATTATCAACAGTGAAGTCTACGTATTACATCATACTGAGTGACATGATGTTTTACCTGTTATGATATAAAAAACTGATCAAGAACATTGTATGAAGTAATTTATTATTTATGTAAGATACAAGGAAAATTCCATCTGTAATTAGTGGGATTGACTGCAGTAGTGATGGTGTTTATGTTTGCATTTTTTCTGTAATTCATATGTCATAAGGAACCCTGTAACCAACAAGTCATACATCTACAAACAATTTGGTGCATAAGGACTTTAGATAATATTTTTGATTTATATTATGAATTAATAAAGGTAAACTTTCTAGCAGACATTATTATAAGTGAATAAGCTGATAGGTGAAAAAAAAACTCTGAGACTGGGACTTTAACTTCTCTCTTAAATTCCCGTCTCTTTCTTCTTGATGTTTTCTAATGCTCGGTCTCTTTCTGTTTGGTCTTCTTTCCACTGTTTCATCATTTCCAGCAAATATTTTCTCTCACTTCATGCTCATGTTGTCATCTTGAAAATTAGTCAAAGTTCTATTTTATTTTCACCAAAATAATCCCACTCCTGACAGAAGTGTTGTAATGTGTTCTGTTATTAGCTGGATTATTCAGTAAAAATAATGCAAAGTCCAGTACATTTAATGATCACAAATTAACTTATTTATGAAATAATGTTTTATGTAGGCTACAGTCACTGGTAGTTCTAACTTCACAAAAAGCATTTCACTAGAAATTCTGAAACTACAGTATGCTTAATTCACAAATAAAGCTCACATCACTTACTTGCAAAATTTTTTTCAAACTGATCAATAACAAACTCACTTATTGTTACAAATGTTTGAGATTCCATTCTCCTCCCCCATGATAAACCTTTACAATATGTGACATCTTTGCTGTTTTTCTTGCAGTTGCTTATTAAAATACATTTTGTACTATTTTAAAACTAAAGATATTGATTCTTGGCTTCAAACACACCTTCCTAGAACACACTTCATGACTGGTATTTGAACATCTTTTCATTTTTAATCTTAGACAAGGGATGCCAACAAAACTTTGGGAGTCACTTGTAAACCAAAATTTATCAGGATGGAATTCCATGGGTACCATCTTCTTCATTACCAATATCTCTATTCCTGTGTATTTCAAATTTAAAACAAATTGGAATTTGATTTGTGAAAAAAATATAAGTAATGCCAGCTTCCACACAATTATTCCTACCTTGCATTTGAATGGCCTCACTTATAAAATTGTGTATTAAAGTTAAACCCTGTATTAGATGATATTATGAAAGACGTTCTTTTGTTTAATTAGTGTAAGAGCAGATAAAAGTATAAATAGATTAGAACCTTCTTTTTTTTTTATAATTAACAACATTTTGTAATGATTAAAATGTGTAGTGTTGATGATTCATAGATATTTCTGATTTTTTTTACTTATTAGGATACAGAGTATAGTGTCGTCATAAAGATGCCTTCTGTTGAGTTTCAGCGAATCTGTCGTGACCTCAGTCAGATAGGAGATTCTGTTATAATTTCATGCACAAAGGAAGGGGTGCAATTTTCAGCAAGTGGTGATCTTGGCACTGGTAAACTTTATTTGAAATGAGTTTTGTTTTAACTTGAAAATTTTATTTTCTAAATGGTTTTATGCAAGTGCACTGAATTTTAAAGTTACAGATATTTCCTTAATTTTATCATAAATATGGATGATGTATATAGAATCTTTAATGTTTGAGGGCACTGAAGTAAAAAGACTTGGTGAGGTATTATCTAGCTCTTTAGGTGATAATTTTGTCCGTTTTTTGGGGGTTGAGGGCACTGAAGTAAAACAACTTAGTGAGGTATTATCTAGATCTTTAGGTGATTAATTTTGACAGTTTTTTTGGGGGGTAAATCACAAATGTTTGGATTTAGTGGTAGAATGCAGGTAAAATATATATTAGCCCTAAAAATGATTTGTGTAAATAATTCAATCATTTTCTAAAGGGGGAGCACTGAAATTTTTCTTCAGTGTCACGAAACAAGAAATTCACAAATACAGATTTCTGAACTGATTCTGTATTAGACTCTTGGAACCCTATGGGTTTTTTGAAGGGTTGTGTTAGATACAGTTAAAGTCACCCACTCCTTGGTTCTAAAAACAAGTATTATGTCTAATACAGTTGCATCTTGTTTTATCAGAAATAGTCAATAAGATATGTTACATAATTAACATAATTTGGTGTGTATATGTATCTATTATACGACACATTTTGGGATACAAAATGTTATTTCCAGCATATCAATTTACGATGATTGTTCACTTTTAGATTAGAGAAATTTTAAAACTTATTTAATGACGCAAACAAATTCAGTTTACGTTTTTGAAGAAAATATTCTTACCTAGGAAACATTAAGCTGTCCCAGACAGCAAATGTTGATAAAGAAGAAGAAGCCGTGGTCATCGAGATGCAGGAGGCAGTCTCCTTGACATTTGCTTTACGTTATCTCAACTCTTTCACTAAGGCTACTCCTCTTGCTGCTCAGGTCCAGCTGTCAATGTCTGCTGATGTTCCACTCGGTGAGTTTTGCTATGAGAAAATTTACTGTGTGCTTTGATTAGTTTATGCGAACATAAATACTTCAATGTTTCTTAACCGTGTGGCTTTTGGCTATAGTTTTGGCTTACTAAAATTGACAGCAGAATGCTATACAATACATATAAAAGTAAATATACAAAACCTGAATTACTTGTTAGTTGATATATGGTCAAAGTTTTTAAAACATTATTCCCGTAAACAGTTTGTAAACTTTTTCTAATGATATAAATGAAAGAAACTATTTATATATATATAGCATGGGTTAAAATTATATGAAATTAGCATCAAAAATATTAAAGTATTTAAGAGAAGCCATCAGAAAAATTATGCACTTTGAAGCACCCTTCCTAACAACTTGGAGTAAATATATTGTTAGTGTAAATGTGCTTTATAGTCACTATGAGAAAAACCTATACACTGGATAAGTGAAGTGACGAAAAAGTGTCATCGGCCACTATTCAGTTATCCACATTATAAAGCAGCAGGTATAACAAATAAACTTAGTATTCCGAAAATTGTTTAATTTCAAAGTCTAAGTTCAAGGGAGGTCCAGTTTAATCTACACTTTGATCAACGTGTGTTATTGGGTTATACTAGTTTCGAAGAATTCCACTCCTCATCAGTAACCTTGAACATAAGTTAAGGAGGTGTGGAATTCTCTAAAACACATGTTGATCAACGTGTACATTCAACTGGACCTCCCTTGAATTTGGACTTCGAAATTAAACAATTTTAGAAATACTGAGTTTATTTATAATAACTTGGATTAAAAGTAATAGAAGTTGTTTTAAACAGTCTGAATAAAATTATGATAGAAAATTAAACAATTAAAAAACCATTTGATATATCAACTTGCATTTTGTTGTAAAGATAACTTTTGGAAATCGGTTTGATAAATGATAAATTTAACACCCTAACAGTTATCTGAAAATACTACCTAATCGTTAAGGCCTTTCAGTAATGGAATTTTATGGTATTTTTACTTTTATTTCATAAAAAGCAGTACCCATTCATGATTATCAGATGTGAGATTTTAGTAAATTCAGATAAAAGTCAATATCAGTCAGAAAAAATATGAAAAGAAGAATATAATTTCAAAAATTTTTCATTTTTTTTTAAGAAAATCATTTTTATATATGTGTTACTGAATATAGCTATATATGTTCCTTCTAGCTGTGGAATACAAGATTGCCGACATGGGTTACATGAAGTATTATCTTGCACCAAAAATTGAAGATGGTGACGAGAGCTAAAAATTCTGAAATGCTGGAGTGGAGTTCTTAACCTCTTTTTTTCTCTCTCTGTTTCAAAATTGTATGTAAATAATTCAGTGCAACCATTTTTGTTTTGAAAGTAAAAGAACTTAGGAATCACAATGATTTTCTTGTCTTGTTTTCTTAAACTAAACATTTCATGACTAAAAATGCATAAATTTTCAATAATAATTACATCATTTTGCTACAGATTAGTGATAATTAGGTGAATGGTAATATAAAACAATTTGAAAATGATGAAAATTAACCTCATTATACTTGAAAATATGTGCTTATACAGGGTCCCTGAAAGTGTTCTGTTTCAAGAGTAACTAAAACCAAAATTTAAAAGTAACAAATATTTTTATTTCTTGCTTTTGTAGTTCATATGCCATGCTGTATTGTATACTACAGAGTGCATAATTTGTTTCATGATTCAAGGCTTACACATGTTTTACTGATGTCACAACAGTACCAATTGCAACGTTGAACTTCCCTTATGTGACGTCATTTTAGTATCTACTGACTGACTGACAAGACATTAAAGTGGTGGGACCCAAAATCAACATATAAAGATCTCCCACATAAACTGAATCACAATATAACTTTGAGCAGTATGCAACATTTTTATTAAAAAAACATTCAAAGTGTTATTTTTTATTCCAGTAAATCTATTTCTAATCTTGAATTACTTGATGACACAATAAACTGATATACCAACAACGTGTATAAGATTTGCCACTTCATACCAATAATAAGTAAGATTTGAACTGTGTTAGGATGTGTACAGTTGTAACAATGGATTTCGTATATGTTTAACTTTTGAGTCGCACCTTCAGACCATTGTGATTCTGCTTAGAAAATTGATAGCAAACAAGGCTTAGTTTCTCTGCCTTCAATCATAATTTTTTCTAAGAGTTACTAATATAGTTTTCTCCTGTTGACACTATTGATTCTGCTTAGAAAATTGATGCAAACAAGGCTTAGTTTCTCTGCCTTCAATCATAATTTCTTAGTTACTAATATAGTTTTCTCCTATTGACACTAGTGATTCTGCTTAGAAAATTGATGCAAACAAGGCTTAGCTTCTCTGCCTTCAATCATAATTTCTTAGTTAATAATATAGGTTTCTCCTATTAACACTGTATGTCGTCAACTTTTTGAAGGCCATAGATAGGCCTAAATAAAATGTTTTTAATTGTGTACCAGTTTTAACGTTGAATATTATTTATGATTTCCTAAACGTTTCGCACTTCGAAATAACCTTGAATCTTTAAACCAGACTTCAGGGATTATTTATAACTAGCGGAAGTACACGGGTTATTAGGTTGCTATATTTTAACAAGTGCATAAAATTTATCATGAAAGTAGAAATAACGATCTAATTTTAAACTTAAATCGTTTCATGAATTAAGGTATTTTCTGTTATATCACCAACGTTTTTAATAAAAAACAAACCTCTTTAATTCTATGTGTTTTTTCGCTAGCTTGCCTCATTAAAAAGAAGCGCATGTTATAATGATAACTACATCGTTACCTATTTATATAACTCTTGCTTTCTTTTTCTAATACCGATTCGTGATTATTTCATTTAGTTAGGTGATATAACTTTTGAATGGAAATATTTTTCTTTTCAACTAAGCCTTTTACTCGATTATATTTTTAAAGTACAGAGAATGCGTGACTTGTCGTTGTTTGCTCGCTCAGCCAAATGATGTTGTTTTATCAGTGGAGAAGGAATGAGATGCAAAGTGTGGGTGCTTGGCTAGACATGCAGATTTTACAATGGGAGATTGAAAGTATAAAGATCTGCTAAAAGCAGCTCAATCTAGGAGGTCTGGGGCATGCCCCCCCTCAAAAAATTAATATAATAATATAATTTAAAGTTGCTATATAAGTAGGGTTGTCAACTTTTGAAAAGTTTGAAGTAGGACTTGTAATGGGCCGTTCATAAAGAACGTCACACGATTTATAACACTTGCTATATATATATATATAGTACAAAAAGGTAAAAGTGGGGTGCGAGGTTCTGACGCCTCTGATTTATAGAACCTGTTGCTGATTTTTGGAGCACTAGATTCAAACATTTGTGCAAATTGTGATCCAGAAATCCTACTTTACTGTGCAACAAGTTGCCGGATGCGTGCAATAATTATCTTATATAGTTACCGTATTTCAAAGTAATAAATAGTGGCATGTACAAAAAGTAAACATTTTAATGACTGTGTATGGTTTTACAAAGTTATAAAGCCATATTTTAAGTTTAATGAATACTGGATTGCTATTCGTTATGTCTTGTAGTGCACTATTGTTGTAGTACATCTCAACATTTTGTGTACAGTATCCTTAAACTTGTGTTCCATTAAAATAAATTAGAAATGGCATTCTTAAGGAAACCGAGTCTCTGGTCCATTGCTCATTGTTAATGCCCTCCTACTTACATGATGAAAAAAAAAAGTTTCAATAAAAGCATTTCTCTGTTCATTTCATATTCCAAGATGTATGACACGCCGCTATTATGTTACATTTCGCTTTGCTCTAGTTTTATTAGCTTTGAAACGGTATGTTGAGTTTTATGTTTTTTTTTAGACGAATACCTTAACGTTTCTGTTGTAATTTCATTTTGACACTAGTTCGAAAGCTTTGTTGCAAATGGCCGTAAATATGGGACGTGACAAACCTCGATCCAGAACGCGCATGCTCAGAGCATATAATGTCAACAAACTACAGATGTACCGTACAATTAAAACCACAAAGTCAGTTAAAATATAATTTGTGCTTGAGATGGGATGAGATTGATAACCTTAACAATAGCACACTTAAAATAATACAGATGCAACACCCGGTAAAGAATTCTGATGCACACGAGTGTAGATCTTAATAGAAACTGTTTTTATCTGCATAAACGTTACGAAATGGAATTTACTTGCACGTGGATGTGTTACGCCTATTGTTTGTTTGTTTTGAATTTCGCGTAAAGCTACACGAGGGCTATCTGCTATAGCCGTCCATAATTTAGCAGTGTAAGACTAGAGGGAAGGCAGCTAGTCATCACCACCCACCGCCAATTCTTGGGCTACTCTTTTACCAACGAATGGTGGGATTGATCGTCACATTATAACGCTCCCATGGCTGAAAGGGCGAGCATGTTTGATGGGACGGGTGTTACGCCTAAGTTAAATGGTATATTTTCACGTAGGAAGAACTAAATGTTTAAGGATGTTCAGTTTCGTGTTAATTTCCTTGTTAATAACCTAGAACAGTTACATCAACGAGTCTTATAGAGTGTGTTCCACGTGCTGTCATTGTAATTCAAAACAAGTTTGGAGAAGGTATTTCCATTTTCTTTTAACACTGCGGCGCATATTCGTGTCACTTGTCAATGATGGTCTGACACTCGTCGCGAATTCGTTGTTTCAGATGTTCGGTGTCCCTGATCTTCTCTTTATACATACCTGTTTGTATAAACCGATTAGCTCAACATCTCATTTTCAGTCAGTCTCCAGGTGTAACCTTTGTTTTATTTAAACACTTAGGTATAGTTTTCTTTTTTTTAACCATTTCTAAAGCAAAACATCTCTAACACCTTTTTACATAAAGCTCTTGTCGCCGGTCTCGTTATACTGAAAATGAATCACACTTACATCAGTACATGGTGGAAAAATGTACTAAACATTTCCTGGAAGACCAGATGACGTCACTCAACTCTCTTTGCATATCACTCATTCGATTACACCACCATTCCCAGTTTGCTCCTGAAAACCAAAGATCCACCTTTCGAGAGCGCTCGGGTTATAGGGTTTTTATTATTTTGTTCTTCTCTTTATACACATGCCCAGAAAAAAAATAATGGGAGTCAAATCCGTAGGCCTTTGTCTTGGAAAGGTGTCATTCAACCAAGATCGGAGCTGGAAATTACTCATGGTTCCAGACTTTTCGGATACCTTGTAGTATGCTTCTTCTTCTGGTGCATCACATTATCTTCTTCTCATAAAAAGTTGAAGAGTGAGATATTCTAAGAAGAAGACAATGATAAATCGTGATTACCAATAACTTATGGTCGCAATACAACTCTCTAGATTAAAAAAATAACTTATAAGTTAATGAAACTAACTTCGTATAACAAACCGACTAGAAGAGCATAACATCATTATAGTTAGTACACAAGAAACTATAAATTCACTGTTTGGGTACTTTTGCTGGTGCTATTCAATTAAAGCGGAGCGGTTTGGCATACCGGTAATAATAATAATAGGTTATACTATTGCAAAACACCCTTATCGGGAACCTTTTTTTGGTTCCGCACGAAAATATGTTTGGTTTTAGTATCTGCTATTATCACCGAACTCGTTGTAACATAGGGATCAGTGACTATTGTAGGTCAAGTATTTTCTGCCTTCACCCCCATAGCACATGCATACCGGCCTGGCATAGCCAGGTGATTCGGGCGCTTAATTCGCAATTTGAGGGTCGCGGGTTCGAATCCCCGTTCCTTTCAATCCCGCTGTTCGTTGGTAAAAAGAAAGGCGAAGTAGGGACGGTTAGTGCAGATAGCCCACGTGTAGTTTTGCATAAATTTCAAAAACAAACAAATAAAAAAAAACCGTTCTCTGTCTCTTTTTGGATAATAATTAGGGCGATTTCATGCATTTCTTTTATTTCGATTACAAAATAAAGATAGATGTGAAGACGTTTTGTCACGTAAATGGACAAATAGTTCTTGTTTGTCTGAAAGTAGTATGTAGTTCGAGTCTTTTCTTATACACTTGCATTACGTCATCTTGCTACAGTTAATTTCTACTTACGTTTATAATAGGCTGATAAGCTTTCGAAACCCCTTCGATTAACTAATCAAAATTAGACAAAAAAAAAACGTTTACTTTCCAGATAACAATAAAAAACCTTTTAATTTCGGTCAATGTTCGCCATTGCGGCTTCATTAGAATGAAGCCGCAATGGCGAACCTTCAGCTGAAATAAAAATATTTTCATTATTATCTGGAGGGTCAAGGTTGTTTTTGTTTTTTCTTAATATTTACTGCAAAATGTTTAAATCCCTCCAGTACGCACTACAAATCTGGAAAAACAACACAAT